TTAAAGTAAGATTACTTTCACTTAATCTACCCAAGACATCATCAATGTCCTTCAAATGCTGATCGAAAGTAGAAGAGTAGATGATAACGTCATCTAGGTAAACTAAGCAACAACGCCGTTTCAGCCCCGATAAAACCAAATCCATCAGACGTTGAAATGTAGCTGGTGCATTAGTTAACCCAAACGGCATCACGGTGAATTGAAATAATCCCTCGTGAGTCACGAAAGCCGTTTTCTCTTTACTTTCTTCATCGAGTTCTATTTGCCAAAATCCTGAGCGTAAGTCTAATGTGCTAAAGAATTGGTCATCGTGTAGAGCATCGAGAGTATCATCTGTCCGGGGCAAGGGATAGACATCTCGAACAGTGACTGCGTTCAGTCGACGAAAATGTTTAATGATGTTAGTACGTCCCGGTTGTGAAGTAAATAGATCGGCGTACTTGAGAACTAAATCAGTCAAACGTTTTTTCTCGGCATCACTTAAAGAAGCACTGGAGAGATCTAAGTCTCTCAAAAGTTGTTCCCGAAATTCCTCGCTTTCCGACGCCTGAGACGAAGAAGGAGCAGATACATTATAAGATTCCTTATTTTCCTCAACTACATCATACGTGTATTTTTCTTCTTTTTCATGTTCGGTTTCTTGTTTACCTTCCTCTTCAACTTCTCCCATCGAATTGTGTGAGTCAATATATGTGTCAATATGTATCTTTTCATGAGTTAATCCTTCTTTGTTTATGACTGGCATCAGCGATTCCAGTTCTAATGTTGGATCAGATGCTACTGGTCCATGATGTTTTGTTGGGTTCGGATACTCCGTCGAATAATCATCATTAATTAATGAATTCGTATTAATATTTTGATAATAATTGATAGTATTATTATAATGATGTTGAGGAATATCTCCAGTATTGCCGTTGCCATGTTGATCGTTATTCCAGTCATCATACATATTGTTGTTGTGACTTAGTTTGCTGAATAGATGATTATCATGAACAATATTTTTGTTGATATTGTGACGATAATTTTTATTTTAGTTTCATTCTTGAAGTTTTCGCTATCATGATACTCATCACTATTTACAGAATTTAGTATGATGGAATCACTATTCACCATATGATCATCGACGGGATTATGGATTGCATAGTGTTGTGATTGTGGTTGAAGAATTCCCGTTGAAGGTGTGATCCATTGGCTTGCTAATGGTTCTAGATAAGCCAATCTTTGCCCTTTATGGATGACTTGTCTTCGTGAGGTCAGATTTGCTATTTGTAAAGCTGTAGAATTATTTTTAACGACCACTAAACAATTTGCGGTAGATATTCTGCTTGGAAAGGAGGTGGTGGTAGCTTCCCACTGGTCCGAATCGAAATCTGATGGGACTCTGACAGTGAGATAGGTATCATGATAAGGAGGGATGATTCTTTTCTCAGCTGCATAAACAGGGACATCTAGACGACCAGCTTGATATAGTTCCATGAATAGAAGATATTTTTCAGTTGGTCTAGATTTTCGCCATAATCTTCCGCCTCGAATATCCAGGACAATCCCTGCTTTGTGGAGGAAATCTGCTCCGAGGAGAACTAACTGATTGAACTTTTTTGTTAGGATGGATGGGTGATAAATAGTTTGTCCTGCTACCGTGATTTCTGCTTCTACCCATCCAACTGGTTCTACTGAACTACCTTCAGGTCCAACTACATCGGCTCCGAAATAAGGATCGATTGAATCAGAATTTGCGCCGATTAGTTTCCAATAGTTATAACTGATAATGGTGATTCCTGCTTCAGTGTCAATCGTTAGAATTCCCTCAATATTGCGGATTTTACCTTTCGTTGTAGCACAGCCTTTCGTGATTCGATACTTTGAATTGGAATCAGGAAATGTTAGTTGGGAGTTTATCATCTGATTCACGAGAACTGGGTTAGATTTTGTTCTCTTGTCGGCATGTCTACGTTTTGGTTTCTCTTTCGCTTTTGTTCTTTTCATTTTTTTCCACCATTTGATCTGTCTTCTCAGTTTCCTCCTTGTACGAGCTTTCTTAGATGAATTTTTAGATGCTCGTTTTTCAGGACATAATGGATCGTGATCATCTTCTTCGACATCTTGTTGTAGTGCATCCTCCTCCGACATAGTATCATCATTGGAGTCATCTGCGGTGATTGTTGTTGAATCATTCTTCTCGTCTTTTACTGATTTCGAATCCGAATTATGAACGTTGTCGAATACAGATAGAATTTGTTGCTTATTCATTTGTGAAACCTCTCCATTACGGCCTGATACGCCTAATTTTCACAACTTCTCTACTGCATCAGATTTTCCACCATCGCTGAACTGAGTTCGTTTCATTGATATCATTTTATCCTCCGGAGGTGATGATCGAGGATCAACAAGTCGTGAGACACATGTGGATTTTGTAAATATGGAAGTAGGCGTATTGCACATCTTCCTTGTTTGTTTAAATGTTGATTGTTCGTATGTTGTCGAGGCAAATTGGAGGCTTTTTGCGATCTTTTGTTTAGTTCGACAAACTGCTTCGATATGTCCGATCCGTCGGCAATATGTGCAACTTTTGTCCGAGAAGTAATTCCGATCCTTTCACATTTTGAACACGTAGGTACCGTTGATTGATTTCTTTGATCAGAATTTCTTTGTTGCCATCTCGGAACATTCTGTGAATTAGAGCTATCATGATTGTTGTTCTGTCCTCGATTCCACCACTGCTGATTACTCTTATTGGTATCTGCATTATTCGTTGAAGATTTTTGTTGATTTGCAGGTGACAAAAATGATGGCTGCTCTAGAGAACTGGTTGGTGGCAGCGTTTTCGACTCAATGGCAGCTATTACGGATTCAGGATTAGTTGAACATCTTTTTGTTGTATATGAATAGATTTCTCGTTGTTCCTGATTTCTCGAAGACTTCATTGCCATGCAGGATTCTACTAATTCTCCAGTTCTCTGTTGAGTTCCTTTCTTTCGTTGAAGCATGTGTAATTCAACTTTAGCTGCTGTTCTCATTAGATCTAGCAACGGTAATTTATCAGCATCAACTCCGCCCATTAATTGAAGGATATCCAGACGTAGCTTCGGAAGGAGGTGCCTTTTGAGCGTTTTTTCTGAGATTTTAGGATCAATTTCCAATGCTAGTCCCTTATACCTCTGATAGAAATCTGCTACGGATTCATCTGCCTGCTGCATGCAATGATTTCTTTCGATTTTCAGAGCTTCTATTTGTTCTGGTGATTGAAAACGAGCTTGAAATAGTTTTACAAACTCACCCCAGGTGGCTGGAAGTTCATCACTTTGCACTAATTGTTGATACCATTCAGCAGCAGCACCTGTTAGCCAATGACTAATTCTGTTGAGTGTTGCTTGATCTGACCATCCATAGG